GAGAGAGAGAGAGAGAGAGAGAGAGAGAGAGAGAGAGAGAGAGAGAGAGAGGAGCCCTTTGACGTTATTCAGAAACCCCCTGCCCATACTCCAAAAGGTCCGTGCAAAAGTTGACAAGGGTCCCATCGGCAGGAGAAGGGTAGTCACGGGACTTGTAGTAAGGAGGGAGCAGGCCAGCTATATATATATATGGTGTAGCTTCGAATTCGGGTCCGTGTTCGAATTCAGTTATGGGTTACTACCTTACTAACTCGGCATGTGGTTTTCAGTACATTACAATCCTCTGAGAAAACACAGCTAGAGCAGATCACGGATTCCGCCCTGCCTCGTTGGCAGGGGACTCGTAATAAACAAACAAGCAAGAAAACAAAGAAAACAGTTCAAAACACCAAGTTTCAGAATGTGACCGTTTTAGCTGTAAGATTCATTCTGTGGAGGACTACTGTGAGCACAGCCTCCTAGACTACTACCCTGCCGGACATCATTGCAGTAGAGAGAGCATTTTTGTTTTCCTTATCTTTTCCATTCACGCGCAGGCAATATAAAACTAAGATTTATGGGACTTGCCGACCCTGCGTCCCACCCCCGAACTCTTCGCGAACGGGCGTTTTCAACCGTTTTGATGTAATTTCCCAACACTGGCAGAGGTACTACCGGCAGTGGTTTAAAACAAAAAAATGTGAGGTGATGACTGCTCAGTGCTTACCCTCCCAACGCCATCACCATCATTATTAGAGAGTGACACAGACATAAAAAAAAACAGACACAGGAATGCCTCATTTCTGTCTAATAGGGCCCCTTAAAACTCCAAAAACTACTGGCAAATAGTCAAAAGTCCACACAGCAATGCCTGCACAAAGAAGCGGGAATGAGAGCAGGTCCAGACTGCAGAGGTAAGGGAATAACTCAGGCTCTCTCTCTCTCTCTCTCTCTCTCTCTCTCTCTCTCTCTCTCTCTCTCTCTCTCTCTCTCTTTTTCTCTCTGTGTGTGTGTGTGTGTGTGTGTGTGTGTGTGTGTGTGTGTGTGTGTGTGTGTGTGTGTGTGTGTTTTAGATTTTCCCCACAACAGCCCCAATTCCACCCAGGTGAATAGATTCAGAATCAAAGGAGTCTTTGTCCTATTGCAGACAACGAGAGCATTTGAGATGTCCAACATATTAAAGCAATTTTATAATTAGACAGTTTTTTGGTTGTCCTTGGGGTACCCCTTTCATTGTTCTTGCAGCTCCCCTTTTACTGTGCCTCTTACGTACAAGGCTGCTCACGTTGATTGTGGTTGAGCGGCAGCTGCCCACATCCCCGTGTGCCTTCACGTCTCACTTGCAAGTTATTTCAGGAGGCAGAGTAAAAGGGAAGGTATGCTCCTGTGCATCTCTTCAGAGCTTCATACTCCTGTTCATTTCACTTCAGATCTTCAGCTTATACAGTCTTTGTGTACGTCCTTCATCTTCATACTTCCGCTCATTTCATTTCTGAGCTTCATATTGTCTGTTCTCTTAATGATGCTCATCCGTATGTATTTGTTAGTAGTACAAAGGGAGTGGAGGGGAGGGTGGAGGGTAAGGGATAGAAGGCGGGAGTTCTATAGGAGTATGGGCGTTCAGCTGCTGCAGGATATGATCCGCAACCGCTCGCCCTGGATGGTGATAAACTATGAGCACATCGCTCTGCCGGTGGTTCATATAGAAGTCTATTTTCCTCCTCGGACTGCTGTGTTCGTCATTCGTCTGGCAAGAAAGAGGGAAATCCGTCAGTGGTTGCCATAGGTGTATGACCAACACCGCATGTGGGACATGCTAGGAGAGGATGTGGAGGGTGATGGCACCGGGGATAGTCCACGCAGTAAAGACGCATCGTTTCTATGACAGCTTCCTGGAAGCATTGACGACACATGGCATGCTGCTGACATGTCATTAGTATGGAAGGCTGACATGCACAGTTATTTAAGCATGGCAGACCAAGGCCACAATGGCATGCTGGGCAAGGAATCAGGAGGTGGGGGGGATGAGCACAGGACATGGGATCACAATTTTCGTGTGAGAAGCTACTACCAGCGACCATCCCTTCATAGTGTTCGGAGCATAGGCTATGTCGTGTACATGCCAACCGAACTGCACCTGTGCAACGACACAACGGGAGGGCATAGCAATCATCCTGTGGAGAGGTCCTTTCACTGTTTGTGGTAGAATCAGCCGGATTGCTCTCCGGGGGGTGCAGTGCTTGCAAATGCTCATCGACATACTGTTCCTGATGGACGAGCCAGACTGAGTGACCCTCCAGCATTTGGTGATAGAAAGAGTTAATATTTCCCACTGTGTGCACCCTACCGCCATTGTCCCATAGGGTCCATGAATTATCTTCAAAGGTAAGAGCACTGAAGTGACGTGGACGATATAAGATATATGCCCGAATATTCGGATCCGTGCCTGTCTCGTGGTTTTGCGGAGCAGGCTGGAATTGCAGTCGCCTACCCATAAATGCCATAGCCAGTACTTCTATGTTCACCCCAGGCGCAGCGCTGTCGTCCTCTGGGCAGAGGGCACGGTGCTCTTCTTCTATCTAGCAAACAACGTCTGCAAAATCAGCAACGGTATAAGGATTACAATTGTAAGCAAGGAGACATACATTAATGGCATAGTACGCACAGCGCCCTCGCTGTAGCGCTATGACATTGTCTGATTCCGCAGGTTGCGTGGGGGATCCGTTTACGGCCGGGGGATCCTCGTTCGATTCTGCAGGTTGCACAGGTGGCGGAGACTCGTTGTGGTCTTGACAAATTGGCTCTGGCATGTGCTCCGGAGAGAGATGATCTTCAACCAGGGGCTCCATCAGGTAATCAGGAGACGGGTCATTGTCATTTGGGGCAGGGGAGCGAGTGGGGCTAGGTGGCTGAGAGAGGGGCGGGTCAGGTGGGTGAGAACTGGGTGGACCAGATGTGGGAATCGGAAGCTGAGCAGCCTCACTTGTGCTCAGGGCGTCTGCTAGTCGTCCAAACGCTGCACACAAGTAGCTGCACCTCGTGTCTGGTGCACTCGTAAGACTGCAGCACTGAAGAAATCATCGCCACATTGCGGGCATCGGACTCGATGTGTGTGTGTGTGTGTGTGTGTGTGTGTGTGTGTGTTGAGCTCTGTGATAACCTCCCTTCCTCCCTCCCTCTCTCTCTCTCTCTCTCTCTCTCTCTCTCTCTCTCTCTCTCTCTCTCTCTCTCTCTCTCTCT